CAAAGAATTACAAAAGAAAAATTCAAAAAGCATTTCAAATGGTAAAAATGGAAAAATAAGAATAAACCATTCGAAAAGAACAAATATGTTGTTAAGAAAAATAACAAAAGATTTACACCAAAAAAAGGTTGTAGATGTTATATTTGTAATGAAGGACATTTTGCACCCAATTGTCCTAAGAAAAACCAAAACACCAAAAAAATGGTTAAGTTTTTGGAAGAAAATAATTATGAAATTTGTTTTGGAGAAGATCTCTCTGAAACAGATTCCATTCTCTATGAAATAGAAGAAGAAGAGGGGGAATCTTCTGAAGAATAATATTTCATGCTTAGTACATCATCTAATAATGAAATATTTCGAAAATGTTCAAGAAGATCTTGAAACTATTAAATTGGGAGATGTCATAAGGGAAGAAGACTCAATCAACGAAGATAAGCTAGATAAGCTAAAAATAATAAAAAAAGAAGAGATATACAAAATCTCTAAGTTCAAATTCAGGTCAGCCAGACATTTTGAGCAATTTAATGGTAATACTACTGCTAAAGCATCAGAAGATGGAACTTGTGAAATTTCTATTTTTGACAAAACAAAAATTAAGAAATTAAAACAAAAATTCCTAATATAAGATATATTCATATTGGGGTAATACAAGTTGAAATAAAATCATTATTTCGACAAGATATAGATACACCAATATTGGTCATAATGTTAGACAAACGTTTTAATGACCCAATTAAAGCATTAATAGGTGGAGTTCAATCTAACCTTGCTAATGGAATAGTTTGGTTTAAGGTAAAACCAAATTATTTTATTTCCGTCAATGAACCTAATATTCAGATACGGTCAAACTTAGAATTCAAACCAAAAATATCGGCATGAAATCAGATAGTTTCGACCTTTCTATTGAATGGAAAGCTATCCATGAGTTGACTAGTTTAACCAAAACATCAACCAAGGATTACGACAGAAAATTTGTTGAAGTGTTCGAACCACGAACCTTTGATAATGAAATTCAACCGAGACTTCTAAACTGGAAAGATCTGGAAATACCTAAAGATTGGCTTGTCCAAAATTTTACTGAACATAAAAGAAATTATGAACCAATAAATTTTCAAGAAAGTGGTAAAAATCTTTATATCACTGATTCTAGATCTAATCCAAGAAGATCTATAGATATAGGTCAATTATCTGGACTAGATGAAAGGTTAAAATTAAAAGAAATTAAAGAACCTGAAATTCTCGAAACAGAGGAAAATGTTTTTGCATTTAAAGGTTTTGAAATACCAATTCTTCCTGCTTTACAAGAAGAATAAAAAGGTTTGGTAATTTCAAATATGAGTATTGGAAACGCAAACATAATCTTCTTTAATAATCAAAATAAAAGAAGATACACTTATGTCTTAGCACAATTTAATTTCCAAGGATACAAACCTTATCAGCTAGATGCACTAATTGATACAGCAGCTACTACTTGTGCTTCTCGACCTAATGCAATACCATTAGACAAATGGATTGCCATGAGAAACCCTATTCTTGCTAAAGGAATAAATGGTGCAGACACCCAAATTGATTTAAAAGCCAAAAATGTTCCAATATGTTGGAAATCATAAGTTTATTATTTCTAGAATCATATGTTTTCCATATATGCATGGAGATATAATTCTAGGAAATAATTTTTTGCATGAATATTTCTCTATGGAAGTTGGCCCTAAAACTATCACTCTAACAAACAATTCATCAAAAATTATGATCGACTTACTTGTAGAACATAAGTATCGCCGTAAAAAAGGATTTACGCTGCTATAGCGTGGTGAAAGTACGACTACAATTTTTAATTTAAATACTTCACATTGGATCTATAAAATTCTAGAAAAGAATTTTAGTGAAGACCCCTTAAAATTATGGTAACGAAAACCTCGTGACTATAATTTAAAGCTCAGTGATCCTAGATTATTAGAGTAAAACCAATGGTCTATACTAAACAAGATATAGACGAATTTTCAAAACAAATAAAAGATCTTTTAGAAAAAGGAATAATTGAATCTACAACTAGTCCACATTCCAGTCCTACATTCATAGTTAGAAACCACAATGAAATAAAAAGAGGAAAAACTAGAATGGTCATTAACTACAAACGGCTAAACCAAAATTTAGAGTTTGATGGTTACTTTATTCCAAGAAAAGATGTGTTAGTTAGACAAACTAAACATGCAAAGTACTTCAATAAGTTTGATTGCAAATCAGGTTTCTGGCAAATCAAACTAACCAAAGAATCCAAACCATTAACGGCATTTAGTGTCCCTTATGGACACTATCAATGGACTGTTATGCCCTTTGGATTATGCAATGCACCACAGATTTTCTAAAGTTGGATTGACAACATTTTTTCTGACCTTAAAGATTTCTGTGTTGTTTACATTGATGATATTTTGGTCTTCTCTAAAACAAAAGAAGACCACAATAAACATTTAAAAATAATATGTGATAAATTCGTAGTAAATGGAATTATCCTTGGCCCAAAGAAACTAAAAATAGAAAAAACTTCTATTGATTTTTTAGGAATTGTTTTAGACCAAACTGGAATAAAACTTCAAGAACAAATTATTTCCAAGACCAAGAATTTTCCTGGAGATTTAAAAGACAAAAAACATCTTCAAAGTTTTCTTGGTTAATTATGGAAGAAACTTTATAAAAGATTTATCCAAAAACGAAAAACCTTTATTGGAAAAATTAAAAAAGAATAAACAAATCTTTTGGTGTGAAAAAGACTTGCAATTATTAAACAAATAAAAGCTGATTTATTAAACATTCCTACAGTTTATTTTCCAAAAGATGGAGAAAAGCTTATACTTGAAACTGATTGGGGAGCGGTTTTAAAAGCATGTGTAGATAAAAAAGAATTAATCCGTGGTTACAATTCTATAAAATTTAAACCAAGTGAGATTAACTATATTACCTACGAAAAAGAGCTTCTTGCCATAAAAAATGGCTTAAAAAGATTTCATATTTTTCTTGCTCCTGAAAATTTTCTTATTAGAACCGATAAACACTCAGTAAAAGACTTTCTTAAAAATAAAAAAGGAGAAGAAAATCCCAGGAGAATCAGATGGTACAATTTTATATGTCAATATACTTTGAAATTGAACATATTAAAGGTATTAACAATGTAATTGGTGATTTTCTTAGCAGGGAAAGTTCTTAAACAAGGAACTACGAGAGATAAAAGAAAGGGTAAACAACCCTTACTACCTCATCAAAAAAAGGAAAAACTTTACGAAGGGATAAACCAGGGAACATTCAATTTAGAGAGCCTAGACAAGCCTCTTAGCTGCATCAACATTTTGCTCAAATCCCAGATACTCAACGGTTATCTTTTAAAGATATTTTGAGATTACAAAAGCAATTATGCTTATCCCAAACTAAACAAGTTGCGGATTTTTTTAGAAACCCAGATATCACTTCTGAGTTCTATCATGAATTAAATGCTCTATGGAAATCCCATATTTCACAAAATCAGACAATTTAGAAAAAACAAGGGAAAATTTTCTGAATTGTAAGCAAAGCAACGAGTTAAAACTAGGGATCTGCACAACCTGTCTTTTCAGATTTTTAAACAAATCGACTGGGAAACAGAATTTTCTTAAGAAAAATAATTTTCTAAAAATTTCATAACACCTGGATAGCCAATCCAGAGATCCTATTTTTGAAAGAATTAAAAGAATTTGCCTTTATGAAAAACTAAAACTAGACCTCCCATATGACGTTTTTCATGAGCATATTGAAAATAGCCCAAACAAGCCTGAAAGAAATATTACCAGAATACTAACCAAGTATAATGGTAATCTTATTTATGAATCCAACAAAAACCCAAAAATTGTATTTTTTTTAATCATGACGATTGGGAAATTGAACCAACCGAATGGAGACTTGTGGATAAAATCATTTTTGACCATCAAGATTCGATAAAATTTAAAAATTTTCCAATGATGATCAAAACTATGATTTATGAAACTACCAAAAACTTGAAGTTTCATAATTATATTACTTTAAAAATTTACAGTTCAATAGACTGGACTAGCCGAGAAAGGTTTTTTCAACCCTATCAGATTTGGCTTTTGAGAAATGCCACAGATAACACATGCACATAGCCATGATATTAATATTATTTTTTTATACAACTGCATATTGCTTAGCATTAACGTTATTTGTTTTTATACAAATTGAAACCATTCAGGGAGAGAATTCCCTACCCTCTCCCCCCCCCACCCAAAAAAAAAAAACCAGCACCGCCTAGGTATCTTGGCACCTGCCTAGGTAGTTGTCGGGTGATCAGGGCCCCTGCCCACTTAGGTGGCCGTGTCCACCTTCTTGAACACTAGTATACTGTAACACATTATCTAGACCATCCATTTCATTTTAAGAATAAGTGCTCACAGATCTACAAGATCTGTACCATTTTTTTAGCTTCAAATTTCATAGTCGGTGTTGGAAAATCATTCTGGAGCCATCATGGAGATTTCTGATCCTCATAATTCTTTCTGGAGGACGATTCAAGGTGAGGTTTTACTTTGTTTTCATAAAGTCTAGGCCTTACAAAAACTGCAACCTAAGCTCATGTCCCTTTTTTTCATTTTTTTATTTTTCCCAAACTACCCCCAGATCAGAACTATTAGTTTCAAACCCATCACTAGAATTCTAGTGAATGGCTCAGAACTAATAGTTCCAGGCCACTTTGATCTATCCTTCCATCTTTGTAAGGAATCAAGTGGTTTAGGATTAATAGTTAACAAACAGTTTGACATTAATAGTTCTGGGCCACTTTAATTAATTCCTTACAATGAGAGCTGATAGTTTCAGACCGCTTTGATTCCTTACGAGTTGTAAATGAAAAAAAAAAAACCTTGGTGTAAAATGTAACTCATGGGGAACATTTTTCAAATACTGCAAATTACTAGGGATACTTGAGTAAATTTTCCAAAGATTAAGATGTAATGGCAAACCTTTGATAACTTGACCAGCACCAAGCTCAAAATCTATGGGGTCAGCCCTTTCATAGCTGGAGTCAAAGACAGTTCCATCTGTAAGTGTTCCCTGGCAAAAAAAAGAGAATAAGTCCAAATAGGAAAAAGAGCAAGTAAAGAAATATAATATGGTCCAAATATAAAATAACCTCTAAACAACTAATAGCCCTTTAAATCATTTATAGAAGCTGGTGGTTTAATGTTGCTAAACGTTACTGAAATACAGGGTCTAAACCAGTGGTAATTTCATGATAGAAGATCAGTTTAAGAAACCCTATGCAGGTACACTTCAGTCAAGACAAACCAATTTTGAGAAAGCTGGTGCAAAGAGAACATTAAGTGCGTTGCAATGATAACAAGAATGGTCTTACCACATTAGTTGATTTCCACATTTCAACCAAGATAATTAGACAGAATTAAGAATTCTCGACCAAGTTTCAATGAATTACGGCTCCTCCCTTGGGAACTCTGGTCCCTCCGGAGTAGGCAGGCTCTTTCGTTCATCCAATGGACAGACACTGCAAGCCTACTCCTGCCCCATTGAGCTTGCGGACTCATCTCTAGCAAAAGTCCGGCCTCTTATGTTGTAAACTTCACTCCCAATATTTTTTAACAATGATACACAACAAAGACTTCTTTTTTCTTGGTCTCAGCTTCGTGCTATTTAATCATTACCCATACTTTTGAGAGTTCTAAGTTTCTGTTTTCTAAAACTGTTCATGAGAATAAATAATCATCCTTCCCAAAGCCTCTTGCTGCAGCTAAAATGCGAATGATATGAGCATAAACCAAAACCCAGACCTAGACCACCCTCCCCCCTCCCTCCCTCCATGTTCGAAAATAAATAACCATGCTCCTCCTTCCCTCCCTTCCTCCCTTCCTCCCTCTCCCTCAATAAATAAACATGCTCACCAAAACTTCTTGCTGCATAAGCCTAAAGGCTAAAATGCCTTAACGATATGGGTGTATAAACCAAAACCCAGACCTAGACCACCCTCCCGCCCTCTCTCCATTCCTTTTATTACCATTTTTTTTTAGAGTTCCAAGTTTGAAAATAAATAACCATGCTCCTCCCTCCCTCCCTCCCTCCCTCATATTACCAATTTTTTTGAGAGTTCCGAGTTTGAAGATATATAACCATGCTCCTTCTTCTTCCCTCCATCCCTCATATTACCAACCTTTTTGAGAGTACCGAGCTCCCTCCAATTTTACAGGCCACTATTTAGAGGCAACAATTCCCTCACTCCCTGCCTCCTACCCATTTTACAGGCCATTATTTAGACGAGACAATGTTTAAAGGGGATAGTGGCTGAGATTGTCGTGGGATTTTCTCTTTCTAGGAGCTCAACTCATAAATTCAAGGGTTCACAGAGAAGCTCAGTCACGGCAGTCTTTTCACTGTTTTTAGAGGGATTGCGCCCTATTCTTTGCAGTAAACTGAATCATGTAGAAAAATCTGGGGAGAAAACATAGGTAAGAAATAGTTCATCAATAAAATCCTCAGCATTCGAACCCTAAAACAGATAAGCCTCCTTCGACTTATAGAGGCATTTGCTCTGAAATCTCAAATTGCCTTCTTATCTGTCATTTCAAGACCAATGGTCCACTATGCTCTTATTTTCATTAAGATTCAACAAAAACCCTAGACTGGAGAACCAGATTCAGATTGCTTTGGGCTCAACAACAGGAATTGCATCGCTCCTTGGAGCTTAGAAACAGGTAACAAACCACAGACAATCATCTTAGACCATGATTTTCTTCCATGTAGGAGAGTTTAGAGGTCAGGGCTGCAACTTTATGAAGAAGGAATGCAGTTGATATATATGTATACATACATATATATATATATATATATATATATATATATATA